ACAGGATAGACTCATCACTGTAAAGTCCACTACTTCGTGATTTTATTTGTAGAATACATGACAGGCGTATTCAGTGTGCCTCGCAGGACTGCGAGATGCTGCAGAAGACCAGTTTCGACCTTTCTGGACCGCCATTCACCGACGGTGGGCTACACGATGCTGGAGGAACTAGATTCCAGTGAAAACCCAAGATTCCTTTGCTCCTGGACGCTCCGACGTGTTGTGATATCTGCCAGGTGCGCAGTAACTAGTATTTTCATCGCTATAGCGAGGACGACGCCGATCGGCAAACTCTCGCTCACAGCCATCACCAGCCTCTCAAAACCATCACTTGGCATCCCCCAGAGGTATAGGAGAAAGCCAAAACAGCTCTCAACAAACAAAAGCTAAGGACGATGGAAAGAGAGCTTGTCAAAAAGAAGACGAACAGTATGAAGTTCAAATGGTTTTGAACACTCGTACCACCAACTATACCACTTTCAATAAATCGTGACGCCATTTTGTTTTAACATGAATATCGCGGGTTGCTGAAAACCAGGGAGTCGTAAAAGGCTTTCACGACTCCCTGCTGAAAACCTACAAACTAACAAAGCGCATTTTGCATTTCGCACGCGTCGGCATGACGATTTCTACTGTAATGCCGTTTGTACGTGATTTTGTACCTAGTGTGGTTGCAGTCTAACACGAACGACCGGTAAACCGTGCTTCATAAAGAGAGATTGAGAGTCTGAAAGGAGCTATTGACCCATTTTCGTTGGCGAGATGGCGAGTGAAGACGTAAAAGCTAACACCTCACTAGAGTGTCGAGAGAGTTGTGTATTTTGCCAGTCTAACGGCGAGTCCAATGGAGCTCGTGAACTGAAAATACTCAGGTGCCTTCACGTATCAAATCCTGTGCAGAGCAGTTTCTGAGCTACGAAAATTCCATTGAGTGTGCTCGATGTCAAATAGTTACACCAGACCCTGGTCCAGGTCGTAAACTCACCGAATGCCTCGTTAGCTGGCCCACTCAGCAATCGGTTGCCTGTGCAGATAGCGATGCCGATGAGCAAGATGAGTCTTCACCCGGTCACCGTGTCCAGTCCACTGGCAATGTCGAGCCTGCGCTCTATTGCCAGAACTCTGGTTTAGTCATTACACGTATTTATAATTATTATTTGGTGCAATACTAGCGCCCCTTTCTCGCACCAAATTATTATTTTTGCTACCTGACCATGCCCCCCCCCCTTTTTTTTTCGATGCCAGGTTGCAACGCAAACGCCGAGACCCCTGGTCGGTCGAGTTGCTCCCTGTACATCGGCACGTCGTCCCTACATCCCCTGTGTCTTGTCTTGTGTTTGTCTCCACATGTCTCTTTGTAGGGCTGTGTTCCCAATAATAAAAAAAAAAAAAAAAACTCGGATTGCGAAGATATGAATGAGCCAGCGGAAATGCGTTGCACTACTTGCGACCGTTTGCTATGTCGCCAGCACTCCGCTCTTCATACGCGCAGCAGAAAACGTGCCAATCATAGCATGGCTGCTGTTCCTGCGGCCAAGAGAAGGATGAGACAGCGTGATAACATAGAACTTTGCCCGCTGCACAATGAAGATCTGCGATCGTACTGTAAGTCGTGTAAAGTGTTGCTGTGTGCTCGGTGCAACATCAGCAAACAACACGCAGGCCAGTGTAAGCACAGACTGGTGGATGTAAAGGACGCTGCCAAAGGTTTACGAGATGCAGAGGCCGTGCTGCAGAGAGAGTTAATTCCTGTTTTGGAAAACAGGCTGGCTGCCGTGGAAGCCCGTATCGACACTATCAACAGCGAGACCGAAGAAATATCAGGAGAGATCAACGGTGATTGCTCTGCTGCTCTGAAGATCATTGAGGATTCCAGGGAACAGATACTTGGCGACCTAGATGAAGAAAGGTGGCACGCCGTCAAAAAACTTGAGAAGCTGAAGGAAGCCAGACAAGAAGAACTACGCACACGGAAGACTGGAGGGTATCTCTGCAAGACGCTGAGTGATCGGGCAGTTCTGAGAGCATTTTCAAATCGGATCAGCAGATATCCACCAGGCCCAGGGACGGCTAAAGCAGACAGAGGTGCCAGCGGCAGTGCGCGAAGGGACGACAATGATGAGGACAGCGAGTACGAAGAGGAGTATGAGGACAGCGAGTACAATGAGGACGATTGGGACAAAGAGGAGGATGAGGACGATGAGGAGGATGAGCGCAAAGAGGAAGGTGAAGATCCAGAAAACTGTGAGTTAGAGTTTCTCTTCAAACCGTATCTTGCAAGATGTATGGAGGTCCTAACCTGGGCATCAGACAAACCAAACCATCCCGATATGAAAGGCCATCACGATATCACAGTTAAGCAATGGTTTTCTTGTCGAACCCGAGAGCATATTTCTCTCACCGACGCTAGGACACAGGCATTATCCACTGCCAGGACAGCTGGATGGTCCACGGCGAGCAGCAAACCTCCCCCAGTACCTTTCAGAGTGAAGCTCCTAGCTGGCCATGCTATCATCGGCTTCGTCAGTCAAGCAGCACCGATTGCAGATTCCGTGAACTGGCCTCACGAATCTGATCGATTTTATGGTTGGTCATCCACAAAACACCACCGAGCCCTCACTGTCGGAGGTGAGTTGGGTCAACCTTGGGAATACGGTGATGTCCTTCGCCTGACGTTGGACAAGAAGGGTCGTTCCGCAACCGCCGTGCACGAATACACTGGCAAATCGGAGACGATCAGGATCGACGAAGATCAGTTTCCAATCTGCTTCACTGCCGAACTGGGTCCCAGGGCATCCGTTCGCCTTCTTCCGATTCAGCTCTATTAGCTATGCCAAGGAACATGACATTGTCATCATCAACATCCCAGCCTCTTTCACACGGTGTAGCCGTGTTCGACCGTGATTATGCAATTCCTCTGTGATGGGCCGCTTGAATTTCATGCTTACTCTACGGAATAGGTAACAGATTAAATGAAAATGTCCTGCCCCTAATGATTACTACATTTACTAGCCATGCTTGTCCAGTCCAACGTTTTGTGGATAGTTCTTGTGGCTTTGGTGATGGCCAGGTCCTGGCCTCATCACCGAATTATCTGACGCTATGTTCTCCTTGCGTTTGGCGTGGCATTCGAAGTGGCTTACATTTTGATCGTGGGGCCCTTTTGTCCTGCATCCATTTGTTTGTGTCTTTAAATGATTTGCCACTCTTGCAAACTCGCTTGCTGAAAATGTCCTCTTTTCTTTCTATTTCTCGATTTTGTAGTGTTTTAGCAATTTTTATCTTACAATCATAATCTTTTCTTCCTTGTTGGCTGTTTCTTTGGATTTATTTTCTCGTTTTGCAATTAAGAAGTGGTTTTTAGTCTTTCCCAATCACTCTGCAACTGTATCGAACTGTTTATCAATCAATCAATTATTACGTTTCGGCAAATTACCCTCATCAGGTATGCAATGGTATGCAATGGTATGCAATGGCATGCAATGGCATGCAATGGCATGCAGTGGTATGCAATGGCATGCAGGCATGCAAAGGAGTAGTAGTATTACATGTACTACTAGTACTGAGTACTAGCATGCTGTGCTACATTTCACCCACTGTGACGTTTTCTAACGGTAAAGGGTGCCGCGATAATGATGAATCGAGGGCAACTGGCACGGGGAGGGGATTGGGGAGTGGAATCCCATATCATTTCAAGTTCCAGGCACCCCGTGTGGTCTCCCTACTGGACCATACATGCTATAACAGTTACTCCCTGCTGAGAATAAGATTAAGTACAATGTATATTATGTCGTGTACCTGTACATGCTGCATGAAGTAAGTACCTAGTTGAATGGGGAAAGTAACAAAAACAATAGCATCGCTAGGAAGCGGTCAGATACACAACGTCGAGCTCACTCGGGAAAGTTGTCTGAAACCATTGACAGTGGATAATAGGCACTGCAGATATTTTTGCTTTACCTCCACGTCCTTGAACAGCAGCTCGTTCCTGTTGATCACGAACTCTCGACCTTGGTCACTGATAATGGTGTCGCGACAGCCAAACCTCGATACAACGTACTGAATGAGCATGAGTGCATTGCACACACGGTTGATGTACACTTGTCTGGGAGTGTCATTGTTTCGGCCCACCAGGACAGATACTTGGTGAACACCACAATGTACTGTTGGCCATCTCTTGTCAACTTCAGTATGCCAACAAGATCCATACCCCACGCTTCGTATGTACATGTAGAAACCTTCTCCACAGCATAGCACAGCATTATAATTATTATATTCCTTTCCGCAGGTAACGCTCCAAGATCTCCCCCCCCCCCCCCAGCCACGAAAAATCCAAATGAACGTCAGAATGAGTAGTAAAATACCGGTATTTTACTCCGATATTAATTTTTACTACTCCCTCCCCCAGATACCGGTACCGGTAGCTCAGCCCTGAACTTTCTCTTTGATTGGCGAGGGGGACATCCACTACATACCGGTAGCCATTTTCTGTGGGGGAAAAGTACGACTTACTCTTCCCCGGGGAGTCAATGTACCACATTATAATTATAGCAGATTGCCCACTGGGGGGGGGGGGGGTATGTTTACTATGATTAGTATGAATCATGTTACACCAGCCACCTCCTTTGCGGCCTGGCCCTGGCTCATGTCATGAGTGTCAGCCCGCGACTCCGCATGTAGATGTGATCTACGTGAGCCTGATCAGATCAGACTTCAGAGAGATGTGGCTCCAGAGTGAGTGCGTTCGATTACACACTTGAATCGATTCATGAATCCATTCGCATGCATTCAAGTCGTTCGATTTCATGTCATGAGCCCTGGAATCGATTCGGAATCCATTCCCTCTATTCACATGGGGTGATGTGAATAGCGCGAATCGATTCATATCGAACGCACTCAGTGAGTCCAGTGCTGCAGAAAGTCGGCCCCACATCAACATGATCACATGGCCAACCGATGTGCCAACCTGGCCTAGCAAGAGTCATCTCCAAATCAGGCGAATGCCGAGGAAATAATTGTCCAAATGAATGATCGCTAATCGGTAACCTGGTATGAGTTTTCGAATACCACCACGGATCGATGCGCTACGAAGTGTCTGAGAGGAAACTTTCTTTGCCCCTTGACCACGATGAAACTTCTCTGGGAGCTCGGAGCTCTGCTTGTGCCAATCGTGCTGCTGGTGGCAGGGTCTCGAACGGCCAGCGCAAATCCTGAACGAAAGCTGAAAGATGGGGAGAGTGTGACGCGAGTTACAGTTGACTGGCATGAGACGGTGGCGGTGAGCCGCCTCACGCCATCGCTACAGGTAAGCACTCGTGTTCCAGGCTCTGTATGCACCGCAATCACGATTGAATGAAACACACTTCGTTTACACAATGTAGCTGTTATCACCTGTAGTAAGTATCTCAGTTTTCCTGGGCCACACTTCGAGGTAGAAAGACTAAGTGCATAATTGTGCCGGGTTGCGCCCAATTATAATCAGTATTTTCATTCCTCCACCTCAGACTCTTTCATTACTATTCTGTGCTGCACTCAGCGAAAATGCCCCTTTCAAATGTCAAACATGATATCCTGCGTGTTTGGTCCTAGGGGCAGCTCAACACGGCCTATCTCTTACATACAATCATCTGAAATCCGATGGAATGACGGGGGGGGGGGGGGGGGGCGCCGTGACTCATTTTACTTTAGTTTTAGCACATACATGCACTGTAGTTCACATACATGCACTGTAAAGAGCAGCAGTGCTCGCGGCTTCAATGCCAGCGCCCCGTGGCCGTTCGACTTTTCAACGGATTTTAATGTCCTCTGCAGTAGTACCAAGAGGGAGATAAACGGACTCGGATGGAGAGCCAAGGATTAAATTATAAAAAGTAAAAAGGACCAAGGAACTACAAGTTACACTATAATGTCCACTAACACCACCAGTTACCGTCGATCAGTGTCGTGCAATGTTATCGCATGAGCTGATTGTTTAGTAACTGGTGGTGTTAGTGGATATTATAGTGTAACTTGTAGTTTCTTGGTCATTTTTACTTTTTATAAGGTAGATGAATGTTGTCAGTTTAGAATGAGCGGAGGTCTCTCATGTCCTCTGCTGGTATGTCTTAGGTGGTTGTCAATCCCCTTCTCCGCCGAGATTCGCCCGTCCACGATGCCATGTTTAATAGCCTGGCAGAGTTAAAGGCCCACTTTGTACGTTACGTACCATGGTAGGTTTCTGTGTGTGTGTGTGTGTGTGTGTGTGTGTGTGTGTGTGTGTGTGTGTGTGTGTGTGTCCCATATGGTGCAGTGGTATGTGCAGCGATTTCCAATCGATAGGTTGCGGGTTCGATTCCCGACGATTATGGTCACACACGTCTTTCTTCTCTTTCTCAGACTCTTCCTGACTTTTCTTTCATTCTCCTGGGTGGTTACCAACAGCCAGTGTATGCCGGAGTATGTGGTGTGGTGTGTGTGTGTAGAAAAAAATGGAAAAATGAAAAATAGGGATTCACTGGCCAGAAAAAGTCACTTCAAACAGCTGTGTGGTGGATACCAGGCTAAAAATAGTGGCGGTCAATTCATCAGCCTTGCAAGCTGTTGAATGGTGTAATCCCAGCACAAGTTGCTATGTCTAACATAGCTGTTCGCTATCATCGCTTCCGCGATGGGCATGTCTGAGTCTGAGAGTGTGTGTGTGTGTGTGTCCCTGTGTTCACTGGGGACGGTTGTGCTTTTTTGAGCTCCTGCTTATTGCAAGTCCTCGACCTTTGTAAACTTCACGGAGGCCTGAGGTGGCCCTCTTTGGGCCGCCTCTAGGCCAGGGAAAGTGCATGACGGAGGGAAGAATACAGCTGAGAGACGGGACGGCAATTTGGTGCCGTCACTTTTAGTTGTACCCGACGTCGCCATTCGCGGAGGTTTGACAAGCCCCCGAGCGGATTTCCACAACATCGCGCGATGAAATCTGTCAGAGAGAAGAGAGGGAGAGGGAGACGTTGCCTGCTGTGTTTGGGCTCATGGAACGTGAGATCCTTGTTGGAGCGGGACGGCGACATCGACACTGCTTGTGTTTCTGGACGCGTCGTGGAAGACAAAAAATTCACCGAGGTATTTCTGAACTGAAAAGGCTGAAAGTGGCGGCGGCAGGCCTGCAGGAAACCCACTGGTTTGGACAAAATATCTACGCTGTCAACGGATTTACTGTGATCTGTTCGGGCCGCCCCACTCCTGGCGAAGAGGATAATCGACGTCGAGGTGAGGGAGTTGCTCTTGTTTTGAATCGTGATACAACTTCGGCGTGGAGGGCTGGCGGCTGCGTATGGAACGCGGTGAGTTCTCGGATTGTGAGTGCACGTTTGAAGTACTGTGCAGCTGATGGACCGGATGTTTGGCTCACTCTGGTCAGCGTTTATGCTCCAACGTTTGCTGCGTCGCGGGCATGCAAGGAACTATTTTATGACGATCTACAACGCACTCTGTACGATGTACCCCAGACTGACCATTGTGTAGTGCTTGGCGATTTCAATGCTCGAGTTGGATCTAGTGAGCAGGGTGATGAGTGGTCCACTGTACGTGGTTCGCATGGATTTGGTGCACTGAACTCTTCAGGAGCTGACCTGCTATCATTTGCTGCATTCAATCAGTTGAGTATTTGTAACACCTGGTTCCCCAAGCGAGACCTCTTCAAGCGGACTTGGCAGCACCCAGGCACTTTGAACTGGCACTGTATCGACTACATTCTAGTGCGCCAGGAGGACCGCCGTTGGTGTATGGACACTGCGGTCGCGCGCAGTGCTGAGTGTGGAAGTGACCACCAACTCCTCTGTTTAACTTTTGCACTCCCGTGTGGACGATTAGTTCGGGAGCGCGACCAGGCAAATGTGCGGCGCCGCCGTTATGATGTTGCCCAGCTGCGGGTGCGCACCTCGGACCCGGACTCACCTTCGCCTGCTGAAAGGTACCAAGCTACCATTGCAACCGAGCTTGTAGATACATGGCAAGAACAGCACGACATAGATCAGAAATGGTCCAACGTCAAGGCGGCTATCGACAAGTCTGCTGCGTCTGTCTTGGGCTTCTCCCGGCGTCGCCAACCAGACTGGTTTCGGGAGGCAGAGTCAGCCATCCAGCCATTGCTAGATGAACGGAATCGGTGCTATACCGACTGGCTATGTAGTGGCCAGAGCCGCGACTGCTCGCACTACACAGCGTTTAAGGTGGCTAGATCCAGGGAGCGTGCTTCCATATCCTCGGCTAGGGTAGACTGGATAAAGGCAAAGGCACAGGCGGCCACAGAGTCGAGATTCAATGGAGCGGTCGTATGGAAGTGCATACATGACCTCCAGTCTTGTACCCAAGGCCTTGCCCCTGTGCGCACTTCCGCCGTGCTGGATGAGAACGGTAACATCTGTAGTTCACCAGAGGAGCAGAGCCACCGGTGGGGAAGACACTTTGACGGTGTTCTCAACGTGGCAAGTGCATGGAATCGCAATGCCCTGGACGACATCCCACAGCGACAGGAGGCTGATCATCTTGCTGAAGCGCCGACTCTCCGTGAAGTCAGCCGCGCTATCTCCCGCCTACAGAACGGCAAGTCCGCTGGAGCCTCTGGCATCCTCCCTGAGATGCTGAAGAGGGGTGGCCCTGACCTCACCGCCAAGCTTGTGGAGCTGTTTGGCGATGTGTGGCGTGCTGGGGTGGTCCCGCAGGAGTGGGTGGACGCCACGTTGGTCCCCATCCCAAAGAAAGGGGATTTATCTCGCTGTGATAATTGGCGGGGTATCTCACTGCTGGATGTTGTGGGCAAGGTTCTGGCGAGCGTCATCCAGACTCGTCTCCAGTCCGTGGCTGCGGATTTTCTCCCAGAGTCTCAGTGTGGCTTCAGGCGTGGCCGATCTTGTACAGATATGGTTTTCAGTGTTCGGCAGTTCCTCGAGAAGACCATTGAGCACGACTGCAAAGGCTTCTTTGTATTTATAGACCTCAAGAAAGCCTATGATTCCGTGCCTCGGGATTGCCTGTGGGAAGTCTTATCCCGAGCGGGTATCCCCACTCCCATGCTTGCCGTGATCCGTTCCTTTCACACTGACATGTCGGCGGTGGTTCGGGTAGAGAACACGACAACTGACCCTATCCGCGTCACGAATGGTCTCCGTCAGGGGTGCACCATGGCACCTGTGCTGTTTAACATCTTCACGTGGGCGGTGGTGACTGTGTGGCAGCGACGAGTCCGAGATGTACCCGGTGTTGGTTTTGAGTTCCGGCATTGTGATGGTGACAATAACCTTTACCGCAAGCCTACCAGGACGGATCCGGTTGCCATTGCGACTGAGTCACAGTTTGCAGACGACTCAGCACTTTTCGCGACGACTCGTGCAGGGGCGGAGACGGCACTTGCAGTGTTTGACACGACCGCAGCTGAGTTTGGGCTTAAAGTTAGCGCTACCAAGACACAGTTCTTGGTTGCAGGTAGGGATGTTTCGCCTGGGGACTGCGCTCCAATCGAGCTAGCTGGCACGGTCATCGAAGGTGTTTCGGAGTTCCGGTATCTGGGATCTCTCATTCATCGCGGTGGCCGGTCGACACAGGACATCACTGCTCGGATTGCGCATGCCTCTCGTGCTTGTGGCGCCTTGCAAGGAACCATCTTCAGCAATCCTGACCTTGATTTGCATATCAAGAGGTGTGTGTTTAATGCATGTGTGCTGTCGCTCCTCCTCTATGGGTCAGAGTGTTGGACACCATTGCAACACGATCTCCAACGTTTGTCAGTCTTTCATATGCGGTGCATCCGTTCCATCCTGGGTGTGTCCCGCAGAGATTGCTGGAATAATCACACGACCAACGCCCAACTGTTGGAGATGTGGGGTGACTCTGATACCATCTGCGTGAAGGTCGCACAGCGTCGCCTAGAGTGGCTGGGCCATGTTGCCCGAATGGACAGTAGCCGGATGCCGAGACAGATCCTGTTTGGCTCACTTCTCACACGTCGCCCAGCACATGGCCCTCGCAAGCGCTGGAAGGATTGCGTTGTCTCCGACCTAAGAGTTTGTGGCCTCACCAAGGAATGGTACCCTATCGCCTGTGAGTCCCGCGCTGACTGGCGGACTATGTACGCCAAGCCTGTGGAGAATGTGCCTCAGCCTGACCCAGTGGTATGTGCGGATTGCAATCGGTCATTCTCGCGCCCTGGAGATCGTGCTCGCCACAAATGTGTGGTTGAGCGGGCAAAGCCGATTGCTGAGCAGCGAGGGGCTTGCCACTGTGGAGATTGTGGGCGTTGGTTTCGCAGCAAGGGTGGTCTAGCTGTTCACCGCTGTTCCGCACCTCAGCCTCAGCCTCCCGAGCCCCGGCAAGTCTATGTGCAGGATGCCTGCTGTGCTGCGCACTGTGCTGTGTGTGCCCGCTGCTTTCGGTCTGTGCAAGGCCGCGGTCGTCACCGGTGCTCGAGGACTGGCCCGCGCCCGACTGCCCAGCAGCGCAATTCGTTCAGCCATGTATGCGTGTGTTCTCGCCGGTTCCGTTTGCCCCACCATCTCCGGCGTCATCAGGCTGCGTGCTCCATCTTCCTCTCTGATGCCCCTCCGGGGCCCACGTGACCCCTGTGGCAGTGGCTCTACAGGACAGGACAGGACAGGTGTGTATGTGTGTATGTGTGTATGTGTGTGTGTGTGTGTGTGTGTGTGTGTGTGTGCGTGTGTGTGTGTGCACGTGCTCTTTTGTACAGCTATGTACAAATACATTACGAATATTCTTGACTGGGCGATAACAGTTACTCTCCATGGCCTGGGTGCTGCTCTCCATGGCCTGGGTGCTGCTCTCCATGCCCATGCCATGCACATATCTGTAGACACCGTGTACATTCTCTCTCGTGTTGTTTCCAGGAAATCCTATCCAAAGTTGGCAGTGACGGAGCTGGAACCCCCGTCCGGCACAGCCGAGTGTCGATTCATCACCGGGACAAAAGAAACAAACGAGTTTGTCCACATTGCGTGCGGCATTGGGCAGATCTCTAAGGTAAGAATGCCGCGAGATAATTATACCCTTTTTTCCTGAGTATGAGCAGCTCTGGAGTGTAAGCCGCACACAATTATTTTGTCATGGAATACAGACTTCCAGGCTGTGTTTTACGGTGCCCGTAACTTTGGGGTCCGGATAGCTGAGGTGAGTCAGGGGCATAGCAGCCGGTCTGCCCAGACTGGCTTTGGCCGGACTACTTTTTAGTAACACAATCCCAAAGTGCCCAGAATGCAGGATTTTGCACCCTAATTTCAAATGTTTCCCCGGGGGACACCCCCACCCTCCCCCCTCTTAAGGGCGGTGCTACGCGCCTGATGAGTGTGCATGTATGTTTGCTCGCGCGCAGGTGGACTTTGCCAGCTTTGGAAACCCGACCGGTTTCTGCGGAAATCTCTCTGTCGGCAAGTGCCACGCGGAGGACACTCTTGAATTTGTCAAGAAGCAGTGCATCGGGCTGGAGAGCTGCTCGTTCCCGGTGAACACGAAGACATTCGGTGATCCATGCCCAGGAACGATCAAGGGCTTTGCAATGCAGGTACGTTGGAAAGTGTGACCAGTGCAATGCAGGTCCGTTGATGGGAGAGAGAGAGAGAGAGAGAGAGAGAGAGAGAGAGAGAGCAGTGCTCATTTTCTAATTTTCTTTTTTTACCAGATACACAACTCACGGGCGGTCATATGGGGCTAGCATGGGGTGAGACAGTGGTGGTGGGGCCTGCCACGCCATGCTCATGCTGTGTGAATGACTGTGAGACATGCAACATCAACAATTTAGGGTTGCAGCGGGTAGGGGTTTGGTCGGGCAACGAGTACGGGCATTTCTTTCCGTGTAGCACGGGTACCCTATCGGCTAATTTTTTACATTGTTTGTACAGTGAGTGTGCACTTGCTCAGCACAGAAAGTGTACAGTAAGCACGTGGCTATGCTTTTTACATGCACCGTTGCAAAGAATACCGCACTCCGACTACCCGGTCGGGTTTTCAGGAGCAAACTGCTAGCCGAATACCCGCTCTAATCAAGATGACACCCCCTGATCAACATCACCACCCTCAGGTGGTCGTGACTGACACCACTGGATTTGAAGATTGAATTTAATACCAGTGCGTCTAAAATGTTGCTGGAGACAAGTCCCCTGTATTAGGAAACGACACTGGATATTTAATGACGTGAGAAATGAGCATACATGCATGTACAATTTCAGTTCAAATACATAGTTGCGGTCTGCGCATGTCTGTCTTGTTCCACTGCAGGTCCAGTGCAAACCGCCCATGAACCACACGTACTATGACTTTGACCTGATCAACCAGATGCTAGAGGACTTCATGAACGCCACCAGCAACCACTCGGTCATCATCAACTTCTCCACCATACCGGAGTGGATGTACAAGGACAAGGACCGCGTCAAATACCCGGACGATCCGAGTAAGTCGTTGACGCAGTTGCTAGACTACTGTAAAAGCCATATATAATAACGAAGTGCTAACTCTAACGAGTTAACGAGGAGAAATCTGTCGTTAAAATGGAAATCATTATACAGAAATCGATACATATACTGTCCTATTGAGTGTTGAGAATGAGTGAGAATCGTTACCTTTGGTACACGTAAACTAGTCAATTTTGGGAAATCATTATATATGCGCCTCGTTAGAATAATGGCTTTAACAGTATGTTCATCTGGCCAGCTACCAGCCCTTTAGTTGAGGGTAGCCAGGGGGCGTACTAGTAGCTCGTACATCAGTGGTGTGGTGACTATGTGCCCACTGGCAACCACATACAGTCAACTTCGTTAATAACGACTGCGGATATAACGACAATTCTCGAATAACGACAGAAGTTTCATGCCCAGAGAAAAGTCCATCCTACCTGCATATAATGAGACTTCGGGTAAAACGACACTTCGCGAATAAGGACACTTTTTCTGATGCCCGGCCGAGTGTCGTTATACGCAAAGTTGACTGTAGCTCCAGTTTTGCCCATTTTAACTTAACTATGTAGTAACTATGACGGCCGTTTCCTGGTGTGGCGACCGGACTGAGCTGACTACACACGAGCTGTGCGCCTGGGCAGTCTTACGTCTGAGACTGTAACGACTCGTGTCCCTACGGTCAAAATTGACAAATGGATGCCATTACATCTACCGCATTTCCCCGATTATAAGTCGCACTCGATTATAAGTGGCAACCACATTTTCAGGTTTGAGCCATAATGTTTTGATATATTCACTTCAGTCGTAAGGCATGCTCGATTGTAAGTCGTACCCCCTTTTACCGTTGAATTTTAGCGTTTTCCTCTGAAAATTTCGAAATTTAGAGCCCAGATATTTTATTGATTCACGGTGTACCCGGGACAAAGAGTGGTACGGTCAATACCGTTGTGACCGTAGCGTGTCCGACGCCCCTGTTCTCGATCGGGTTTCTTTGAGCACAGCCATAGTGGCTCGCGGCCTCTACATACTACATCATGTAGCATACGCTATGGTGGATTTGTAGCCGGCGGTGGACAGAGAATGAGATTTAGTCTTGGCAACTTCCCTACACGTATGTGTCACCCCCAAGACGATATGTGTTGTCCTGCTATACTGGCCGAAAACATTAAAAAAGAAAATCCTCTGTACAGCCTTGCCACATGGCATAAAGTCTATTCTGCACCTGTTCATAGTTCCATATTCAAGTACGGTAATGTAAGGTGAAGCCAAACAGTGCCCTTCTGATTCTATTCACTGTCTGGCTGTAGATCAAATAGCCCCATACTCTCTGGGCACTGAGCTGGTGGACCCAACGGCAAAGCAAGTCGGAGACTACTACGGCCGACTGGTGAGTGAAACGCCTATCATTGTATGCTGCTGCTGATGATGATGATTCACACTCAGTTTGTTTATTACAATAAGCTGCTGCTGCCGCCGTCACCGTTGCTGTTGTTGCTGATGCCAACGCGCCGCTGCTTCTGTTTCGTCAAGATTGGGTTTCATTGGACGATACATGTGATCCTGTTGATTGCACTACGAACTAACTTGGAGACAGTCCTCAGTATGATCATACACAACGTACCTTTGGCAATACAGTGACCCATTCACAGTCCGCATCCGTTCTCCCGTGTCCACACACACGCAGGTCAGCTGGTACACGCAGGGCGGATTTGTGGACGAGTACGGTGTGGAGCGTCGCTCACCGTACCACTACGACTTCCAGTACTGGGAATGCCTCAACGAGGTCAACGGCGAGCACAAGAACACACCAGAGTCCTACACGCGCATCTACGACCAGATGGTGATGGGCATCCGCCGCCATGGCGACCCGGCGCACAAGATCAAGTTCATGGGTCTCGCCCTGGGCGGTGCGCTGCACGCAGACTGGTACACGTACTGGCTGAACAAGTCCAATCACGTCTCCGACGACATCCCCCTGGACGCCATGAGCTTTCATTTCTATGCGAGCTGCGAGAATCGCACCGACCCGGTCAACTACCAGGAGTTCTTTGCCCGCGCAGATACGCTAGTCTCTCAGGTATGTATTCTTTCTGTGGCCACCACTAGTGCTGGGAGGTCATGTGACATGAAATGCATGAGCACGCACACACGCACCCCCCCCCCCCCCCCCCACCCCCCACACACACCTGTCCTGTCCTGTAGAGCCACTGCCACAATGGTCACGTGGGCCCCGGAGGGGCATCAGAGAGGAAGATGGAGCACGCTACCTGATGACGCCGGAGATACACACGCACGCATGCACGCACGCACACACACACACACACACACACACACATACACAATGTACCATGTACACGCCCGTCGCAAGAGAAGCACACAAATCTCCAAATGCACTGAATGTGCACCCACAGATGTTCTCCTAAAGCAAAGATAGCGGACAAGATCTGAATGAAACAGATCAAGACTAGCGCCAGATAACTGTCTAATCCACACAACCGGCACAGCCATGTGAATTGACCCCCAATGCACACCTGGTCTATACCACACAGAGCACATTGGAAAAAGATGCACACACACACACACACACACACACACACACACACACACACACACACACACACACACACACACACACACACACACACACACACACACACACACACACACACACACACACACACACACACACACACACACACACACACACATACACACACACACACTCGCCTTTTGACCTTTGATGCCCATCGCCAGAGGTGATGATAGCGATGCTACAGCAGAAGCCATAGCAGCTTGTGCTGGGATTGCACCATTCAACAGCTTGCAAGACTGAAGAATTGACCACCACTATTCAGCCTGGTCTACACCACACAGCTATACACACCACACAGCTATACATACACACACACACACACACACACACACACACACACACACACACACACACACACACACACACACACACACACACACACACACGCATGCACGCACACAGACACACGCACACACGCACGCACACACGCACACACGCACACACACACACACACACACACACACACACACACACACACACACCTGCCGGAGTGCATTTGTACACACAAACATACAATGAGAAGAACTACAATGACTATACATTACCTAGAGCGATTCTTGTGATAACTTGAGAAGACACTACCATCCCAGCTGCGTTGTCCCATGTTCTGCCGCTTGGGTCTCAGGTGTCCAATGTCACTAGCCTGCGCGATGCCATGTCACCACACACGCTGATTGATATCGACGAGACCGGCATCATTCTACCGGATGACAATGTTGTTGGTGCTCCCATGTTTCCGCTCGTCTATTACAATGCAGCGGGGGCCATGTTCGCCTACCTGTACGGCAAGCTGGCTGCGACAGGTAAGGGGAAATTCCCTAGATGGCTCTTCGCGTAATCATTGATAGCGCGTAGGAGTGATTGCAAGGCCGGAATCTTGCTGGCCTTTTCAAGGCTTTTAAAACTTTTACAGTCAAATCTGTTGTAAGCGACCGCCCCTTGGTGCAAGAAAAAGCGGTCGCTTACGGCAGATGGTCTCTTACGACAGATGTATGGTAAATCCGGCATACCAGGTATATGCTTCCATGTACTCAAATCGACGAGAATAATGTGATTTTTAATAATTATCATTTTATTGGATATTCAACGACGACCATACCCGTATAGTACGCGTATGCGACACGGCAGTAGATCGACACTGCCTGGACTTGAGAGCTACAGCAGAGCCTGAGTACAAGCCAGGCGCCAGTCGATCGCGCTTGCAAGACAGCGCATTTTCACACTTTGCAGTTGACAGCGCACTGGCAAGTACATTTTCGCACCTTACTGAACCTGGATCGCGGTCGCTTACAGCAGATTTGAATGCAGCCACCGTGCATGAAATCGCGGTCGCTGGTCGCGCACAGCAGATGGTCGCTCTGGACAGATCAGTTTGTATGTGAAACCGTCGGTGCACGGAAAATCGGTCGCTAACGGTAGATGGTCGCCTACAGCAGAGGTCGCTAACGGCAGATTTGACTGTATCTGCAGAATAACATTCGTAAAACACACAGCAATAACATCAGTGTACACATGAAGACCACCGGATGCCACACTTACTTCCGGCTACTGGCCGTGCTAGTCTGGTTTGCAACTGACACAGATGCAACCAGGTTAACACATTGGGTTTACGCCCTACAAGATGTATGCCAGGCCAATACAAGGCGGAAAAGAGCTATCCTGAAAAATTCTGAGTCCGAGACTATACATGTATGCACAATGTACATTTCACTAACTCGACTGTGTGTGAATGTACTAGGGATAGGTGGGTCGCGTGTGTCAGTATTTCAGGTGGTCTGGCCAAACGGGATACTAGACCCAGAAATGAACATTATTGACAAAAAAACAGTTTTGCACGAATGGGGGGGGGGGGGGGGGGCAACTCGGGGCAACGTTTGCAACAAGGTTCGGCTACAGCCTGACCTGCCGGACCGTGTGTTATGGCCCTGGCTATCGCGGTGTCGGATGCACTTGTCCCCGATTGCCAAACGTTACATCATGTGTTTGAGGTATGTTTCATACTACGTATGACGAAGGAAAGTGTGCACGCAACCGCAATATCCGCCATGATCATGCTGAGGAGTTGCCTAAGCGGAGTGACTTTCTGTCAGGGAATGCTGCTTTGGTTAGTCCGCTTCTCACTAATACGGGCTGGAAACGTACACGAGACTACTGCACCGCGTGATGTGAGTTTCACCGTCGACGCACCCCATAGAAAGGGCATCAGGAGTTGCACGATCCTGGGAGCTTATGTACATCAAGTTTGTACTACAGGTCTGCTCTCCTCAGTCGACAACCCCTGGTTTTCAAATTCTGTGTCGTAAAATGAGTATTATCTAGTATCTGGACTTGAATGTATGCGTTTTAGGCGTCAGGGGATTTTGGATCGTTGTCTATTGATGAGGTTTGTCTTGTTACCGATGTCGTGCTAGCCAGGGTACACCTGTAGCGTAATCCTGCATTTGTTGTCCTCTGCTATGCTCGCGTTCTTATCCAGGAATAGACGTTCTTGGCGAGAGCCAACTCGTGGGCAACCCAACCTTGCCGGACCTTGATCTCCCGTCGCAGTATCCCAGCGTAGCCATGCTCAACTGGACCAACGGCCTGGGAAACGCTAGATATCACGTACTCAAGGTGCTCATTGAGAACTTCCAGCCCGGTGATAAACTGGTGAAGACCACCGCTGTACAAAGTTCAAAACCAGGTCAGTACTGCCGTGGTGTGTCTGGGCAAAGTGCCTTGCTGTGTATGATAGCACTGAATGCGTTATATTTCGCCCACAAATCAATGTTGAATACATTCATGAATCGCCCCTGGCTATTCACATCACCCCATGTGAATAGGGTGAATGGGTTCCGAACCGATTCCAGGGCTCATGGCGTGACAATCAAATGACTTGAATGCACCATATTTCATTCATGAATCGATCCATAGGCGTAATCAAACACACTCGCTGTTTTCGTTCGGATGCACGAGGGACAGTTACGAAAACAACATCAGAGACAATGAACACCACATCAACTCGTGCTTCATTTCAATGATCCTGTGCATCGGAACTTAGCTATGTCGCGTAACCTGCTCTCGTATCCAGATCTACTAGAGCGGGATGTTCACGCAGGTGTGAATCTAACCGCTATCGCTAGCATAAAGAGTATACCCCCCCCCCCCCCCCCCGGAGATTATGCAATTCCGCCTGCAAGACTTTGCTTTGGTTTCAGCTGCCGTCGAAAACACACTTGGCATTAGTGTAGAAGACTAGAAAGCACACAAGTGAAACTCTCCGTATGCTGTTCACGAGCCTGAAGTGTGTCTTTCTTCTTAGTAGGTAGTTTCCACGGGTAGCACGGGTACCCTATGTCGGGTAATGTTTCCATGGGAACACCACAATGCACCCCTTCCCATACACACTGGGTAGACATGCGGAGTATTACATGAATTTGTACACCTGCACTGTACATGATGTCATCTGTGACTTCGGGTTTTCGGACACGATTCTGTACCCGTCTACCCGAGGTCCTCACGGGTAGCACGGATACCCGACTACCCGTGCACACCACTAGTATTAACGCACCCTCGTTTCAGAGGAAGCTGTTCATGGTGTAGTATTCACGTTACATGTGTTCGTTAGCAAGTTATAAAATAGCTCACGAGAGACAGCTGCACAGTTGTCCATATAAACAGTAATGGCAGATGAGTTCATGCCCTTCAACCTCTGCAGTCGTAACGCCAATCAGGGCGTGAGAGTCCAACATTGACAAAATACTGGTGAGCATGCGTTATGCTTGTGTATGAGTGTGTGCATGCAGGCACTCATGCTTCAGCTTGAGTGACTGGCTGTTTAGTGAGCGGGCATTGCGAATGCCAGCAAGTGTGTAATCCAGTGTCTAGATAGATATCTGCATGCATGTGTGGGATGCTTGGTGAAGTGTTCACTCTACCAGGATCATCTTTGCCACCTGTCTCTCTTCTCCATTCTCGCATCTTTCTCTCTCTCTCTCTGTGTCACACAGGTCCGGTCGGGCCGGATACATCGTTTTGCGGCCGAGTTCCCAACCTGGAGGTGATGAACCTAAAGTGTACAGATCCTACGGCCACTATTGACAAGATCCTGTTCGCATCATACGGGACAGTGAAGGGTTACATATGCGGACAGTTTGAAGTCGGAAAGTGCAATGCGGCAAACAGCACGGACATTGTGGAGAAGGCGTGCTTGGGGAAGAACACGTGCAGCATCGACGCCAACACACCCGTATTCGGCGATCCGTGTGTTCTCACGTTCAAGTACCTTGCCGTGCAGGCCCGCTGCACCCATGGCAACGGAGAGGGCACAGGAGGTGGCGGTGCGGAGCCGGTATACGCACAGGCGTTCACAGCACCGGACGGATCCAACCGCCGATACATCCTGGTGAACAAGACACCCGAGCACCAGCAGCTGCAAGTCGCCGGTGCGACGGGCGCAACGGCGTATCTTGTCGACGAGACGCGACCGACCGGGCCGGCTGAAGAACTCAAACTCACGTCCGATACCGTCAGGCTATTGCGCTACGCAGTCATGGTCGTTGTCTTGCCAAAAACAGGCTGAGAAACTGCATGCTCATTCAGAGCCCTGTGTGCATTTTCTAATGATGTTCAGACTACAGCATAGCTACTTCATCTTGCTCACAAAGTCATGTTCCCGGACCAGCCAAAACTGCAGATGAACCTGGCCCAAAAACTTGGATCAGAGTGAGTGTCGTTCTTTTTTGTATAATTTATCAAATCATTTTTAGCCGCCGACAGACAGTTTTTGATTGTGATGTAAGTAGAGTTCGTGAGTGCTGTGTTTGTTATGAAAAACTCGCCAAACTCTACTCTACAGTGTGTTGGTGGAGAATTGGTTCCTCTAAAGCATCCTACTTCTAAATACGTTCTATATATTGTCAAACCAGTTAATATTATATTGTCTAGTACAACTCAGTAAGACTATGCCTGCAGCTGCAGATAAAGTGCTCAACATCCAATTTCTTGGGGGGAGCAATGACACATGTCAACAAACAACGGATCACTCGTAGTGTTTTGCTACTCTGAGTTTCATGCACCGTGTGCAATCATCAGGCAAACAATATTATTGTTTGCCTGATGCCTGATTGCCAATATATTGAAAATATTGTTTGCCTGATGATTGCACACTGTGCATGAAACTCAGAGTAGCAAAACACTACGAGTGATCCATTGTTTGTTGACATGTATTGCCTAGTACAATTTACAATTAGTCATTTGTTGAGGGATTGGAAAGCGGTGAGACTGAAGAAGATAATGACGGTCACCCACGGGACTTGGAACTTATTCATAGAGCCTCGGCCGGCCTTGTCTGTATCTTCTACGTGTATCTTTTTATTCATTAGAGAATATCAGTGTTCTAATGTCAGTGTTCTAATGTCAGGTTTCTAGCCAGAACTAAATATTGCGACAGCCGAGCTTTCGGCCATATGTTCAATTTATTGCATTCCCAACTCATCACAACCACAGGGAGAGAAACAGCTGTCTCGAGGCGTAGAACAATACTATCTCTCAACGGAAGTGTCCTTGCTGGTGTCTGTATGGTTCGGCTGAAGAGCGCGTGGTTGTGATGAGTTGGGAATGCAACAAAAGGGTTCTAGCCAGGTCAAATAATAGGGGGGGGGGGGGGGGGCAGGGAAAACAGTTACCCCGGAACTCATTTCTCCATTTTCAAAATAACTGTCTTGTAATGCGAAATGCAACGTACGGGGCGAACACTTGACTTTACCCCAGACAAATGTGACTTTATTAACCCTCTAGTACTGACCATCGACCGTGTGTTTTGTTGAATGGCATGAACAAACACAAAAGATCGGAAAAGAGTAGGGGGAGGCACTTTTTCACAGGGGGCACGCAAACAGAGTGGGGGGGGGGGGGGGGGGGGGTGCTGTGCCCCCTACCCCCTTTGGCGAGAACCCGGTCATGTGTTATGATATTTTCAGATTGCTACATCAAGTAGTTTCTGTTGTCCACCCCACCGGTGCACCACCCGTCACCAAAGCAACTACTGTAACAAATTTTTGGCCGGTGAGAGACTTTGGCCGATCTCGAAATTAAACTTTTGGCCATCATTAATTTTTATTAAAACATTGGCCGATTGGGGATTTCAAAAAAAAGAAATCGATCAGCATCATTATTCTGTTGCACTCGCACGCGTCCATGGCTCAATTATGCATCATTTCCCTCTATGACAAACTTTGGCCGGCGATTTACTTTGGCCGATACGGTTGGTACCAAGCGCTAGCGGCGACATCAGCGAAATTAAATCGCCAGCGAAAATTAGGACAAAAATCAAAATACCGGTACTTGACGTCCCATGTCAAAACTGTCTGAAAATCCTTACTAGACTCCGTGGTTACTGCATGGGCATTTGGAGATCAACGCTGCATGCAGCCAGTTCATTCATTCACAGTAGACTACAAATTGAAAAATTTAGTAACATTATTCATTGAAAAGTCACTACATACAGTTTTGTAAAATGCTTCAAAATAGCTTTACTTGAATTATTTACCTGCTCGAGGTGGTCCAGTTTTAGACTCTGCGAGGGCGGCTCAGTGTTCCGTAGATGTCCGTCGACCAGGCCCGACCTAGTAGTAAAGCCTATGGCATTGTGCAGTAGCATCCACCTACGCATCCAGGTGTCCGTGTTCTTAGCACTACTGTTGTGGAGGATACAGCATTTCGCTGCGACAGCGAGCTACGGCAAGCCAGCCCACAGGGAGGGCGACGCACCAGCAGGAACAGTCGCCATTGACTGGAATAGCGTAACAGCCGTTAGCAAAACTACCACCACACTTCAGGTAATTACATTTGGAGTTCAAAGTTGAAAAG